AGAGGTCTCTTAGGCTGTCTTCATTTCTTTGCATTCTTTTTTCTTTAGTATGTTCCACAGCAGTGAATTCCACCATTTTGTCTTGCAGGTCACTTATCTGTTCTTCTGCCTCAGTTATTGTGCTATTGATTCCTTCTAGTGCATTTTTCATTTCAGTTATTGTATTGTTCATCTCTGTTTGTTCTTTAATTCTTGTAGGTCTTTGTTAAACATTTCTTGCATCTTCTCCATCTTTGCCTCCATTCTTTTTCCGAGGTCCTGGATCATCTTCACTATCATTATTCTGAATTCTTTTTCTGGAAGCTTGCCTATCTCCACTTCATTTAGTTTTTTTTCTGGGGTTTTATCTTGTTCCTTCATCTGGTACATAGCCCTCTGCCTTTTCATCTTGTCTATCTTTCTGTGAATGTGGTTTTTGTTCCACAGGCTGCAGGATTGTAGTTCTTCTTGCTTCTGCTCTCTTCCCTCTGGTGGATGAGTGTCTCCAAGAGGCTTGTGCAGGTTTCCTGATGGGAGAGACTGGTGGTGGGTAGAGCTGGCTGTTGCTCCAGTGGGCAGAGCTCAGTAAAACTTTAATCTGCTTGACTACTGATGGGTGGGGCTCGGTTCCCTCCCTGTTGGTTGTTTGGCCTGGGGCAACCCAACGCTGGAGCCTACCTGGGCTCTTTGGTGGGGTTAATGGCGTACTCTGGGAGGGCTCCCGCCAAGGAGTACTTCCCAGAACTTCTGCTGCCAGTGTCCTTGTCCCCACGGTGAGGCACAGCCACCCCCTGCCTCTGCAGGAGACCCTCCAACACTAGCAGGTAGGTCTGGTTCAGTCTCCCCTGGGTTCACTGCTCCTTCCCCTGGGTCCCGACACGCACACTACTTTGTGTGGGCAGGCAGATTCTTAACCACTGCGCCACCAGAGAAGTCTCCTTGGCAATTTATTTTCTAAAAAACTTCTTATCATGGACATTTTCAAACTTAATACAAAATTAGATAGAATACCCAGTTTCAAGCAATTATCAATTAATGGCTAATGTTGTTTCTTCTGTATTACTATTTTCCTCCCCCTCCTCACACTGAATTACTTTTACAGCAAATCCCAGACATATCTTTTCATCTGTGAATGCCTCAGTACATAGCTCTGAAAATAAAATCTTTCTGTTTTGCTTTACCATAAGACCCTTATCACACCTACAAATTTAATGGTAATTCCTTAAGATCATAAAAAATCCAGTCAGTCATCAGATTTTCCTGGTTATCTCGTTAATGCTTTTTAAAAATAGTTGATTTGTTTAAATTGAGATCCAGACATGCACGTTGCATTTGGGTGTTAGGTCTTGTAAATCTTTTAAAATCTGACTATTCGTCCTTCCTGTTTGTTTTCTTGTCATTTATTTGTGAAGAAACTTGGTCTTTTGTTCCTTAGTTGTCCCTCATTTTGGATTTTGCTGAATTCCTCCCCATGGAGTTGTGAATATGTTCCTCTTTCCCCTTGTTTTTCCTGTAAACTGGTAGTTGGCTCTAGAGGCATAACCAAGTTGGATTTTTTGGCAAGACTACCTCATGGGAGGTGCTGTGAACTTCCTGTTACACCCCATCAGGAGTTATGTCCTGCCTCGCTTTCTCTATCTCTTATATTTGGTAAAATACACATAACATCAAATTTACCCTCTTAGCCACATTGAAGTGTACAGTTCAGTGGTATTTAGTACATTCACCATGTTGTGCAACTACCACCACTATCTAATTCTGGAACTTTTCTGTCACCTCAAAAAGAAACTCTGTACCCATTAAGTAGTCATTCCCCATCTCCCTCTCCCCAGCCCCTGGCAGCCATGAATCTTTTTGTCTCTCTGAATTTTTCATATAAATGGAATCATGTAATACGTGGCCTTTTGTATCTGGCTTCTTTCACTTAGTATAATGTTTCCAAGGCTCATGCATGTTTTTAGCATGTGTCAGTACTACATTCCTTTTTGAAAATAATTAATTAATTAATTAATTAATTAATTTTTGGCTGTGTTGGGTCTTTGTTGCTGCGCGTGGGCTTTCTCTAGTTGCGGTGAGCGCAGGCTCCTCCTTGTTATGGTGCGTGGGCTTCTCATTGCGGTGGCTTCTCTTGTTGCGCAGCACGGGCTCTAGGTGCGCGGGCTTCAGTAGCTGTGGCACACGGGTTCAGCAGTTGCGGCTCACGGGCTCTAGAGCGCAGGCTCAGTAGTTGTGGCACACGGGCCTAGTTGCTCCGCGGCATGTGGGATCTTCCTGGACCAGGGCTTGAACCCGTGTCCCTTGCATTGGCAGGCAGATTCCTAACCACTGCACCACCAGGGAAGTCCCCTGCATTCCTTTTTATGGCTAAACAATATTCCATTGTGTGGAATTTTATTTATTCCTCAGTTGATAGACATTTGGGTTGTTTCCACCTTTTGACTTCTGTGAATGGTGATGCTGTGAACATACATGTACCATTTTGCTGGAACACCTGTTTTAATCCCTAGGAGTGCCTCTCTTTTTGTGGTGTTAGGACTCATCGGTGGGTTCAGTTGGCCTCAGCCTGATCCATATATGATAATGTTCCCTGTGGGCCTTTCATCTATTGATTTTAGCCACTTTTGATGACCACTGCCTGTTCCAATAGGGTTCCAACAGCACACTTCTCATAGAGGTCGAGGTGGCCTAACCATTTTACTTTCCGTTAACATTAAAGCAGCACTGTTCTGGGCAACCAAGTTCATGCATTCCTAGGAGGGGAAGAAAATGGGGGGCAGGGGGGCTGGTGACCAAAAAGTGTGAGAAAAGCTGCATATGATGGATGCCCTTGCTGCAGACTGCAGTGCTCACTCACATGCTAAGGCCCCTGGGAAGCTGTGTAGTCAAAAAGCCTGTTTAGCTTTAACTCTGTATTTCCCAAGTTTATTTGACTATGAATATTTTTTTCTCTATACTTATTCTAATTATCCATTGGAACATGCTTTGGAGAATATTGTTTTAGTGTCTAGGTTACTTAAAATACTACTAATTAATTTATACCTATGTGTTTCTTAGCTGTTTGGAACTGACCTGACAGTCCCCAGAATCTTCTATTATCACTTAGTGGCCATAAGTTAACCATATTCTTGCAAAATCCCTGGACAGCAGAGTTGGCAATATTTCTGGCAAAGCTTCACCTGGAAACTCTGAATTGAGATTATGTCCTTGGGAATGAATGCTTGAGTCAAATAAGCAAATATCAATTTCACCCATCACCTCAATCTTAAGTGTCTGATGGGCACCTGTGATAAACCTTAGAGAAGCACCATACTGATGTGTAAGCCAGAGCTGCTTATCATTCCTCTCTGCTCTTCATTGCTTTACTCTGCACAGCCCCCAAACCATGCCGAGGACCCCCTTCATGTTTCCCTGGGTCACACTGCTGGGGGCTCTGTCCCACCACCCACACGTCAGCGTGGTTAGATAATGCTAAACACTGAGGTCACGTGGAGAGAGACTCCTTGGTTGACTTTCTAAGGTCAGGGATTTGAGAGAACTCCTTTCCCGTGGCCACTTTAATGCATTTCACTTACTAGTTTGTTTTTAAAAGTTTTTAACCAGTC